CCTCCACCCTTGTCAAGTCATGGCTAATACCCTCAAAAACAGCCCCCCCAGGCTGTACCTCTTGAATGCCACCTTCCCTCCCTGCCAATCATCAGAGTATTTATGAACAAGCTTTATTTCTGCCTCTAGGCTGAAGAGGTCCAGAAGGCAGGGCCCCAGTCTGATTCATCTTCATACACCCCAAAAGCATCAACCAGCACGTTCATTTCCCAACGAGTCACCGGGACGCTGCTATCCACGTGCCAGGCCCCGTTCTGGTGTTGAGAATGCAACAGGGGGCAAAACAGACATGGTCCCTGCCCTCCCGGAGGTTACATTCTAGTGGAGGACAACAGACAACAAACAAGAGGAGAATCGAGGTTACATCCCAGGCGGTGCTGGGTGCTATGAAGGACACAGTACAGGGTGATGTTTTGGGGCAAGGAGAAGCCCACCATGGGAAGATCTGAGGGAAGGGCATTCCGGACAAAGAGAACAGCCTAGTCAGAAACACATGAGCTCGGTGTGTTGAAGGAACAAGAAGGAGCCAGAAGAGTGGGGCACAGGGAGCGAAGGGAGGTTAGAGAGGCAGGCAGGGGCCAGATCCCGAGAGCCCACAGGTCACTCTGCAAGGGAGTGGCCTGGTCTGCCTTACTTGGCGAGGCCAGATTGTGCCATGACAACCAGCAGAGAAGGACTTCATCACTATCTGTTGAATTGATGCGTGGATGTTCCCAGCACCCCTGGGGGCTGGAGTGGCCTGTCAGCTTGGCCCCAGGCCTCACGGTGCCTATGGAACCCCCATCTCTTCTCATCCACACTCTGCTTCTATGTCTTTGCCTTCCCGACACCCCCTTCACAGCGCCACAGGGCACAGCTGACAGCCATGAAGAAGCAAATCTAACTGTGGTCCACGCATTCACCCATGCCCAGCGAGGAGCATGTGTTTAGCAAACATTTTCCACACCCAGGCCTTGTGCTGGATGCTGAGGTTGTGAAGATGAGCAACACACCAGCCCTGCCCTCCAAAGCTCCTGCGGGGGGCCGATGAAAGCCTGGCCAGCCCCCACCCCTCCACCCAGAGCCTCCTACTTAAGTCTTCTCCCCTGGTTAAACCTGCTGTGAGCCCCTGCAATGGTCTGATGGGCAGATCAATTCACACCAAAGAGTTAAACAGAGAGACAAGCTCAGCGCCTTGCCTGCCTCCTCCGCCCCACCCCACCCCCTTTCCTCCCTCCACCAACCCAGGGAGAAAATCTGTTCAGTCTCAGGAATGAAGTTGTAACCAGTGGCATGGCAGGTACTATTTATTCCAAGACAAAGGAGGACTTTGCCGTTGGTTTGAAGAGTGGGTGGGCAAGGGGGCCACTGGGGAGTATAGTCTGGAGGTAGGGTCCGAGGAGGAGGGAAAGAGCTTCGGGTGAATGTCTCAAACCTCCTCCACCAGCCCCACACAGACATGCCTCTGCCTGGAGTCAGAGGCAACCACATCTCATTTGCCACTTCAAAATCTCCTGCATAAAAATTATTGCTGTCATTGTTTAGAAAAGTCAACTACCCTCACTTTAGCAGGTTCTTAAGTTCTGCCCTGTGGGATTTCCAGGGTGTACCTCACTTTGTGCAAATGGGGGAGTAGTGCCTGAGGAAATGTGCACACACTGGCACTAGACAATGCTTGTATCCTAAATTCCCCCAGAGCGGCTGGCAGTCCAAGAAGCCCTGCAGGGTTCCTCCATGCAGGTCGGGGTTCACTCCAACACCCCCCATGTGGTTGGGTGATAGGTTTTCTTCCAGTGGGACACAGGCATCCTGGGGAGAAGTCAGCACCGCAGATGGTTCCAGACCCTTGAGTCTCTTCTTCCCAGGAGGGGAGGAGGGGTTATAAATAGCCTGGACTCCTTCAGCCCTACTCAGGCACAGATCCCACACCCCCGCCCCAGCCTCAGCCAGCTGGTCCCTCTGAGCCCAAGTTCCCACAGGCTGCTAGGAGAGGGAGGACAACTGCCCACCCTCGGCGGGGGCAGGGAACAAAAATGCCCTGGTGACAGTCTCTGATGAATTGTAACTATAACCCCACCACCCCTCTGCACCCTTTTGTAATTACAGTGCTGGAGAGTGACAAGGAGCCAGCAATATTATTAGGGGGTATCTTACACACTGGGCAGCCCAGAAAGCCAAGGCTGCATGCTCAGAACATTAATGCAAGGGGGAAAAGTCATAGGAATGGCACTCTCCCCTCTCTCTGCCTCAGTTTCTCCATCTGTAAAATGAACAAATAACGGAACTATCTAGCTGGTGGGAATGCTGATGAAATTAACATGCAGTGAAAGTGAAAGGCACTGTCAAAATGTAGCATTGTGTTGTCATTAGGATATCAGATCCTGGTTGCTTCTATAGCAGCCCTAAGCACAGGGCAAATGTGTGGGGCCACTGATTCATATCTGTTCATGAGAGCAGAAGAATTATATCCAGCATTAGCCTTGAATTCTTGATACCACCGTGTCCTTGAGAGCAATCAGACTTACAAAATATGCTCTCTTACAAGTCCTTTCTGACTTACACAGAATGACACACACTGTACCCAGACCTATTTTGATTTAATAAAATGCTGCCGGACAGTACATGACAGGCTAAACATTGCCCTAGAATATTTTTATTTGGGGGGAAAAGTTCTCTTAATCACTGTTTATACTTCAATTCCTTCCCACCCATATACACTGGCAAGAAACAAGTGGCTAAAATCTAAGTGGCCAACTCACAGTACTTTTTAATTAAGACACTTTGTTTGCTCAATAAAATACAGAGCAAAAAACATTTACTGAAAACCCACTCATTGATGTTTAATAGCTGTGTCAAATAACAACATTTATTCCAACACCCCCAGATAATTGCTCATCTTTCTCATTTGGTATCCACGACAGAGCAGCATTTGTGTCCAAGTGTAATTGATCCAAAATTGGGCTCCCTTTCAAAACTATCTGTGAAACCTAATTACCAGGAAAACAGAGTTCTGGCATCCTATGGAAAGTGGGTGCTTCCATGACACAAGCTGCAAACTCATCTTGGCTAATCAAGCCGTGTTCTGTTGCAAAAGCAGTTTGAAGAATTTGGGGTAATGAGGGAGGAAGAAAAGTAGGGAGTCCAGTGTCAGACTGGACTCTGCAGCAGCAGTCTTGCTTTTTTTCTTAAGCCAAGGGCAGGGGACAAGAAGTATATCCCATGTTAGCCGGCAAGCATGGATTTAGAAAGTACCAGATAATGAGTCCATGAAGAGCTTGGGGTGTGGGGGTGGCACTTCTAATCTCAGGCCCTACCTACAAAGGCCTTGCCCAGGGAAGTCTCTCCACCCTGGTCTGCAAAGCTGGTGTCATTTCTAGTCTTACTGGGCCACTAACCACTGTGGCAGGTCACTTGCCTTCCTTGGGTCTGAGTTTGGTCATCTGTAAAATGAGCACTCCTAATATCTCTAGGGTCTCTTTCAGCTCCAAAATTCTGTGACCTTCTATAAAGCAAAGGGCTTGCTTTCTGCTCATGGACTCGAGGGGGCAGGGGGAACAGGGAGTGGAGCATGACCAAGGGGAATGAAGGACTGAGTGTTTCCAGCTCTCACGCAGTTCATACCTACTTGCAACAGCCTAGTATCAGACCTGCTCCGGGAATAATGATTTCTTTCAGCCCAGGACGGACCTACCGAGGTGGTTCTACCTCGCTGCCCTGGATTCGTCAACCGGGCCAATGAGGAACGGGGCCAAGCCACCGGACTTCTCAGAGCCTCTCTCCCAGAGCTGGACACAGCATATCTTCCCTTTTAAGTGGCCTTCCCTTCCCACCCCTACCCCTCTTTCTGTCCCAGAAGCACCAGCAACCTCTGCCCTAGCCTTGCGAATGGTCGGACGAGGCTCCACAGGCGGGCGGCACTCGCCACCAACCCCCAGCTCCCCTCGGCCCTGCGCCCTCGCCGCCGAGGCTTGGGTACCAGCCTCCACCGTTCCGTAGATGGCAAAGGTAATGGGGAGTGGCTGCTTCACTTTTCTTTGGCTCCCGGCGGCCTTCCTCCTAGTGAAATCAGACAAGCAGCCGGAATAACAAAGCAGCACAGCGGCCAAAGACAATTCGTTTTCAACCGAGTAAGAGAAGCGCATACCTTGAGCGAAGACGCGCGCGGTTCCCGTGCGTGTCGCTAGGAAAAGACCCTTCGCTGCCTCATGCGGGCGACAGGTACGGGACCAGGCTCGGCTTAACTTGCCTGAGGTTTGGAGGGACTGTCTGCGTGCGCTTATTTACCCCAACTTCCCGATATGACAGCACCAGGGATCTTAGAGTCCCACATGGGTGCCACCTCGGGCCAGGACCGCCACGCAGCGCTCAGGCCTCATTGCGATGTGCGGGATCCCAGCCTTCCCAGCCCGCAGTCTAAGCTTCAAGAAAAGACAGTGCGAGGTGCGGGTTCCAGAGTCCCAGGAAACCGTCACTCTCCAAAATGCTCCTGTGCCTTCCGGTCAAAAGTGTGCTAAAACTTTTGGCAGAAACCACCTGTGGCTGCCAACGGGCCCGTCCTGCTCGGGCCCGGAGGCGCCACCGAGCCCGGGACCGCACGCGCCCGCAGAAGTTCCTTTCCAGCCCCGCGCGCCACTTCGCTCCGGGCCGCGGTGCCAGCCAGGAGGCGCGGCGCCCGCTCGCTGGCTCGCTCTCCGCTGGCTCTCCCCTCCCTCCTGCTCTCCCTCCCTCCTCCCGCCTCCTCCCGTTGCATGGCTGCCGCACGGAGCCCCTGAATAGCCACCGCAGCCCCCCGCCTCCTGCCCGCCGCGCCGAGGGCGCCCCTGCCCCCGCCGGCGCACCGAGGCGCGCGGACCGCCGGCCTCCTAGCAACGGACCCCGCGATCGCTTTCCGGCGTCGCCGCTGCAGAGCCACCCACCCTCCCCGCGCCCCGCGACCTCCCGACCCGCCTCAGCAGCCGAGGTGCCGAGGAGACCGCGACCCTGGCAGCCGGTGCCCGAGCCCGGCGCGCGAAGCCGCTCACCTCCGCGCGCCGCCGGCCCCGCGCGCCTCCCGCACTTGGCGCCGGGCCGCGATCCCCGCGTCCTCCTTCGCCGCCGCGGTCCGTCTGTCTCTGCGCGCCCGAGCCGCGCCGGCCGCGCCGCTGTCAGAGTCTCGTGGCGGGGCTGCGCCGGCGGGTGTGGAGCCGAGCGGTGGCGGCGGGCGCGCGGGCAGCTCCTCCCTCCCCGCGCCGCGCCTCCGCCCTCCTCGCGCCCCGCCTCCCGCGCCGCGGCTGTCAGCCCCGCGCCCCGCGCCCGGCGCCCGCGCCGCCGGCTCGGGGGGCGCACGGGGCTAAAGGGCCCGGATGTCTGCGGTCGCCTCTCGCTCGCGCCCGCCCCCTCCTCTGGCCCCCTCCCCGCACTGCCACACATGCACTTGCCGCGTCCCTGCCTCCTCCCCGGCTCCGCTAATTTCTATTTTGACAGTAACTGTAGCGAGTGGGCGGCGCTGCGGGGGGCGCCCGGGACCCGCGGAGGCGGCGGGCGGGAGTCAGGCCCGGGCGCGGGGGCGGAGTGGGGGGCCGGGCAGAGCCACCAGCCGCTCGGGGCTCCGTGTCTTTTTTCTTTCTTTCCATTTTTCTCTTGCCTCCTCCAGGATTTAAAGGGACAGCCCCGGCCGAGGCGAGGGGGCCGGGCGGCCGCCGTTTCCCCGGTCTCCAGACGCCCTCTGCGGCCCGGCCGGACCGCCCGGACCCCGAGCGCAGGCTCGGCACCGCGGCGTATTTTTAGGTCCACACTCGACCCGGGGCAGCGGTGTGGCAGAGACTGGCTCGGCCGCCCCGGCGCACGGCTATTTTTACAGAGTCCTATTGGGGGATGAAATTAAACAACTCGGCAACTAGGGAGCAAGGAGTGGGGGCGAGAAGTTTCCCAAATGCTCTTGGAATTCCAGCGAGCGCATCTAGACACCCCACCGACACGAGAGACCGCGGCTTGCAGCACTCCAGGGCGCCCAAGTCCCTGCGGGCAAACCCACCCTGGAGTTGCTTGGGCGCGGAACCCCCAAACCCTCGCCGACCGCAGCCCCTCGCCGACTGCGAACCCCGCGCGCGGGGAACTGCCGCGGGTCACTCCCCAGCACCGCCTGAAGGCGGCCTTCCGAAGCGTCCAATCGCGGCGCTCCGCAGCCAGGGGGCGGGCCCGGGGAGCGCTCGGCTCCGCCCCGTCCGCCAAGCCCCGCCCCCGCGGATGCCGTGGGGCCTCCCGGGTCTCGGTGGGCGCGGCGCGCGGAGAGGTGACGGACGCCACGAAGAGCCATGGAGGGCAGAGGAGGGGCACCGCCCGACGGAGACGGCGGGAGCGGGAGCGGCAGCAGGCGAGGCGACGCTCGGGCAGACGTGCGGGCCACCAGCGGGCCGGGGCACACTCGAGCTGGCTTTGCCCCCTTACCTTGTTGCAGTCCGCCCCTCTGCGCTCCAGGTAGCCATAGAGACCCTTGCCCTCGCTCGTGCGACATGTCAGCGGGTTCTCTCCGCGGCTCCTCCCTGAGACGCAGGAAAGTTTGCAGTCATCAAACTCACGAGGAGGAGCTGCGCTTATCTGCGCCACGCGGGCGCTGGGGAGAGAGAGAGGGCGAATCCCGGCCTCCTCGTCCCGATTCTAGCCGCCGACTAATGAAAGGCAGGAGGGGCTGCTGGGGTCGGGGTAGGGGCTTGTAATGCTGAAGATACTAGATGACGTCCTTTACAGAGTTCGCAAAAATAAGTTTGTACATCTTTTGTTTGGTACTTCTTTCTTCCTAGTATTGCTCGTTGGGAATTTGTTTTAATCATTTCATTCATTTGTGTAATAAATGCACATTGCAAGACACTACATTGGGAGTAGTGAAAGCAAGGGAAAATGCTCCCTGGAACGGGATGTAACAGTGGAAAACTAGGTGCGAACATGAAAGAAGGATCTGGAACACAGGGTTTGTGTATAATTATGTCGCGTTTAATTTGCCAGACAGGCCTGGCTTTTCCTATTAAGTAAATGTCACTAATTCAACAGTTTGGACAACCGCCTTATCCAAACTATTCAAAAAGGCTCATGTAAGTCTAGGGAAGTCTGTCGTGGAAACTAAGGGGTTTTCAGACTCAGGATGTCAGGTCTCCAAGTTGCTAGAGCTTCCAGAGTGGCAAAATAAATCCCTTAACTTTAAGCAGCCCTGGGAGCCACTGCCTTCCTAAATTAGGCTGTCTGTCTCCCTGTTAAATTAGGTTGCCTGTCTTGCTTCCTCTCATTAAAGGGTCTTCAGCAATTCAGAGTACTGCTGACTCGGCTCATGTGGTCAAGCTTCCAAGCCCCGAGACTGGCTGTGTCCCATGTCAGCCAGGGGGCTGAATTTAGAGAGTACCTGAAGAATCTGAGCCCTGGAAATGCCAAGGCATCTGCGGGGGATAGGAATGTAGTTGGGGGGGGGCAGCTACATCCTTGGGGGGGGCAGCTACATCCTTGGAAAGGACATTTTGTTTGAGAAAAGAAGGATGTGGGCACTAAAATAGAACTGGCTCTAAATTGGAAAGTTTCCCCTCCCTCCTCTGGCTCAGAGTAGATGCTCAGAGTAGATCGCTGCATGGCTTTATACATCACAAGCTATCTCCTGGACACTAAGCCTCAGGGATCCTGAACACAGGCAAAACTTTTATAAACTTAAAAGCAAGCAAGACTAGAATGTCTGCATATTTTTTTAAGTAGCTAAAACACACCGTGTTTACAATTTTTGTTCAATTGTTTTCTTCCTCCTATGACTTGGAGCTCCTTACCCACCTCGGCATCCTGAATGCCTAGCACATGCTTGGCACCTAGATTGACAAACTGAATGAGCAAAAAGTCATTTTAGAATTTTGGAGTAAGTGTGATTACATGTAAGGATGGAGATTTCAGGGAATGTTGTAATATTCATTTGCAGTTTACTTGTTGAGATGTAAGCACAATGGTAGACTTGACTTTGCCATAATTAATAGAGTTCACTGCCAGACTATACCACTTATCAGCCACTTAACCTAGTAAAAAAGCATGTCATTCAACCCTTTAGTGCTCCCATTTCCAAATCTATAAAAGGGGGATAATTATGGGGCCCCTTCTACTCCACAGGGATGCTGGGATGGTCAGGTGAGAAAAGGTGGCACCTGTTGCCCCATGAACAACATTCATTGAGGGGCTATTGCGTATCAAGCATGGTGGAGTGCATGGAGGAGTATTGTAAATTGACAATATTAGTCATTGAAATAAATTTTAAAAAGATTATTTGAGCATTGGGTTCAAATTTTTACCTACCGTGTTTCCCCTAAAATAATACCTACCCATAAAATAAGCACTAGCAGGATTTCTAAGCATTTGCGCCAATATATGCCCTAGCTGGAAAATAAGACCTAGTGATGGGCGTGGCTACACAGTTTATCTGCACAATCCATGCATTTGCGGAGCAGTAAAGAAGACCAGCAGCCCTTTTCATCTGCTCCATTATGACAGCTACTATCCCAGAGGTGACCTGAAAGGTGCGGGCAGCCCCACCAACAAGGTAGGCTCCCCCTGTCAGGTTCCGACCATCCGGAGCTGAGGCTTTGAGGGGAAAATAACACATCCCCTAAAAATAAACTCTAGGGTGTTTTCTTGAGGAAAAATAAATATAAGACCCTGTCTTATTTTCAGGGAAACATGGTATTTCCCAAGGATGTTGAGAGAATGATTCAAGAAAAGGGGAAAAGGGAGGAATTAATTTACAGAGCTCCTTCTAGAATCTCATGGCATGCCTTGCTATATGTTCCTCAGGACAACTGTGTGCAATACATTTTGTTGTACCCATTATATAGATGAGAAATCTGATATCAGTAGAAGTGGTATTGACCGAGGTGTCAGGGCTGGATACTGGCAGAGGCAGCATTTGGATCCAGTTTTGTGAGTTCAGAAGTTCATGACATCCCACCCTGTGGTGCATCCTCTAGAGGAGAAATAGAGAAGAGGATTTGAGGATTCAGGGCTGAAGAGAATTGCAAGGAATCCATGCTCCGTGTTCCCTACCATAAGGCATATTGGGTGAAGTGCAAGCTACACTAAGAGGCTCCTCCTGGAAAAGGTGGCACTTGACTGAGCTCTTTAAGTTTGCATGGTTTGGCTTTGTTGTTGTTAGTATTTGTTTAATTTCCACTTTGAAATAATTTCAGATTTACAGAAAAGTTACAAAAAGAATTCCCACCTATTTTTGCCCAGATTCTCCAAATGCTAACACTCGCCCATGTTTGCTTCATCCTGCTGTCTCTCTCTACACGTATTATTTTTTCCTAAGTTGTTTGAGAATAAGCTGAAGACATGAGAATGAGCCTTTACTGATAAAGTCTTCATGAGTGTTTTCCAACAGCAAGGACATTCTTACATAATAATCGAAATCAGAATGTAACTATCAATACAACAGCATTATCTGGTCTAAACCATATTCAGATTCCACCAACTGTCTCACTAGTGGCAAAAATGAAAATTAAATAAATTCAGATCCAATACAGGATTATGTATTGCATTCAGTTGTCCTCTCTCTTGGGAGGGTATTTTTTATTTTATCAATTTTCGTTTCTGATTTTAATGACCTATATGGGGTGGCAAAGACTCTCTCGCCAAACTTTAAACAGGCTCCTTCGAGCCCTCTTTCTACTGGGCTGTCACTCTTGAGCCCTCTTTTCAGCCTGCCTAGTCCAGTTGTAGCAAGAATCCTGCTAAGTCAGTTTAGTGAGAATCCCCCCACACTTGATATCTGATCACCCTCGATATCTGATCAAATTCCTCATCCCCCACCCTTGATATCTGATCACGCTGTTCTGACTCTAGCAAGAATCCTGTCGGGTCAGTCTAGCAAGAATCTACCTATCCTTGATGTTGTTTCTTGGTAATTTTCCATCCACCAGCCCCCTTACTCTATAAATCCCCACTTGTCCTTTTTGAGCCTGATCTCTGTCCCCTATTGTCATACCCCCATGGCAACAGTCTTGAATAAAGACTTCCTCATCATTTTAACAACTGTCAGAATAATTTTTTCTTTAGCAGATCCAAAATATATAGAAAAAATTAAAACCCACTTGTAATCATGTACCAGCTATCACCAGTATTAATCATTGATTTTTTAAAAATACACATGTGTAATCCAAGCATACAACCACCATTCCCTCCCAGGGGCTAGCTTCCCCTAGAAAATGCTAAGGATATGGAAGT